GGGGGGTCAATTGTTTTAAGGTTTCGGGCCCCCCGGTTTTGGGTTCCCCCCCCCCCCCCCCCCCCCATCTCCCTGTGTCGCGTGTGTGCATCTGACCAGGGCAAGAACATCTTGTGGCCTAACACTCGCCGTGCCGCCCAGCTGACGCTGCTCGCGGTGGTGGCGCAGATCGCCTTCATCGTGTACATCATCAGCCTGAACTCGCTCCTGAACGCCTTCCCGCAGTACTTCCAGAAGTTCGTTGACATCATCAAGTCGGGGGACTGGTCGCAGGTCCGGTTGCCGGAATTGTGAAGAGTTGTTTTTTTTCTTTAGTCATGGCTGATTGTGCAGAGTGGAGCGGGTCGTGCTCATGGCTAGCATGGGACGGATTGCTCCTTCGTGTTGACCTGGCCTGGGATTTGCCGCCCTTGTAGAGAGAGCCCTGATGGCATGGCTGGTATGGGACGGATTGGTCTTTCGCAACGGCCTGGCTTGGGATTTGCAGCCCTGCTAGGGACAGTGTCCTGATGGCGTGGACGCTCCATGTCTGTCCATAGATTGGCTACGGGGGAGCGGGATGCGGGAATTGAGTGTACGGGAGAGTGTACTCGTAGCCGTGCGTGCCGAAGAAGTTGTTAGACCGTTCATCCCTACAAATCAGGGACGGAGCACGCCGGGTTCTCACCGGACCAGACTTGTGTCCAGGGGGGCGGATCGAGTTATTTTTGTGCGTAGCTTGCCTCCGTCTTGCGGTATTAATAGTCAACTATCCACGAGCGAATCGCGTGAGACGAACCACTGTTTGCACTCGTCATTACCGGGTGTCTTGGGGAGAATCGTCAGCCCTGAATCAACAACACGCCAATAACGGGGGTGGGTTGGTTTCCAGCTCCACACCTGCGGGCCTTGGTCGGACGGTGGAGCAAGGTGCCCGTGGTGGGGCACATCCTCGTTTGGGGGGGACCCCCCAAAACTATTTTTTGGGTGCCCCCGTGATGTACCGACTTTGTGTCCCGTGTCATCGTGGCCAATTTTTTTATTAGGGCGGTGCTTGGCCCTTCCGTTTGTTGTCGGGGCGGTGGTTGACTTCGCCCGGAGTTAGAAGAGGCCCTTTGATCTGTTTCCGTGGGGTCTCCTTCATCCTACATTGACCTAGAATCCATGCCGGGGTGTTTTCTGGTTTGTTTCCTCTTTCCGGGTCATTCCTGATATAGGGGTGAAAGAAGGCAGCATGTCTTCCGGCGGACCTTGACACGCAACAATGTTTTACTCCAGAAACCTCGCCATGCGGCCCCCCACATGCGTTGCCCCCCTGCTGGTTTAGTTCATCCGTATTAGGTTTCTGAACACGGGCTTACATGGGTAAGAATAGCCGGGAAGCCAGCCACTCTCTTGCGGGTTAATTATCACGCAACCCAGAGGCTAATCGTCGGATGCAGCTCCCACAACCAAACCAGTTTGGGGCATCGTATAGAACCGTGAACAACTGCAGCTTCCGGCAGGCATTTTTACCCCCACCTCCACCACCGTGAACTCGGACAGAACAAACGCTTTAACGCTGCCATTGATCATCTCTCATTTCATCGCCTCGTGCTTACAATACAAGGGCGCAATGCTGCCAAGTCCACCACAGAACACGCACATCTAATTTCCAGGAACCCCACCGTGCGGGTATGATTTAGTTGTGTTTTCGTGAGCGAATTCGTCATCTACGTAAAAAAGCAAAAGTCGCTCGGCAAAGCTCTGGAGCGTGATTTCACGAAAAAAAGGCCAAAACACATGCCCCCCCGCACGGAGCGAATACAAGGAAATCAATCAGAGAAGCGGTGTTCGGCACCAGGTCACGACACACGCTCTCTGCCGCGCACATCTCGCTGCAACCCCTCTACATACGGTTAAAAAAAAAAGAAAAAACGTCTACTGCTGCATTATTGGTCTCTTCTACATACGAACAAGATACTACTTTGCATCATACAAATTGTAGTCTCTTCCACGAAGGGGGACGGGGGGTTAATTTTTGTACCTCCCATGTTCGAAAAAAACAGAAAAGCGCCGACGATTTACGTATACGTGTCGGGTCCATTGGTTTTGGGCTGCTCTACCAGTACCATGAGTGAAACTAATCACGATAGCTGGTGTCTTCCCTTCAGGAGCATCCCTACACGTGAACCATACTACAAAGCAACGCATTCTTAGGTTTCTATATCTCAACACCTTCTTTCTACACCCCCCTACCATACTTTGAAGTACCAGGTACCATAGAACAAACAGGAGCCCCGCTGATACCATGAAGACCAACAAGGGGCGCAACACAGGCGACGTCGCCCGTATTTCAGGCAGGGAGGGCTGCTACGCCGAAACAAATCCATCATCGCCGGAACAAATCCACCATCAGGAGGACCGTAAAAAAGTAAATACTGTCATGTAAGAGGCGACCACAAACCTATCCACAAAAACAGGTTGACACCTCGGCAACACGCATTTGTTAGAGGTGCATTCAGGAGCATAGCTCTAGTTCCGCGTTCCGCGTGCCTAGGGTGCCCGCATGCGTCGGACAGTTCGCATTCGAGCCAAGATAAAAGAAGAACGCCCTCTGGCGCTTTCATCACTTCTGAGAAAAAAAAAAAAAAAAAACAGCTCTGATCGTGCCGATAAAAAAACTTGAGACTTTTGATGAAACGACCGTGAAATCCACCCCCCGAGGCATCGGTGTCTCGAAGAGGGCAACGTGCGCTTGATACTTGACGAAACCTAAAACTTCAATAGGCTATTTAGTCGCTCAAATGTGCTCTATATTAGGGGAGGTGGAAGACCGTGTTTGCTCTAGTTATGGTGTTATATTTTTTTTCTCTCTCTATTATAGCATACGACCAGACATGAATTGCTACAACTGCGTTGAGTCTCGCTTCCGGCAGTATTCATTCCAGCGGCCAAAGAGCGCCAACAACACAGCCCTCTTCGCAATCTAGCTCCAGCCCCATCGTACAACGAAAACCCTCTCCAACTTCAGCTACAGCCGTTAGCTCCTCCGGCCCCCAAAAACCCTCCTCACACACAGCCGTTAGCGATAGCCCATCGAAGCACGTTGCCGTGGCCCCCCCGTGACGCGTTAACGCAGGTCCTCTCGTTCCAGGGACACCCGCTCTCCCTCGCCCACACCAACACCTCCAGGTGCCCGTTCTCCGCCGCTCCCGAGCACGTGCGCTCGTTCCACGGGCAGTGGTTAGCCCTAGCGTACTCGAGGGCGTCCAAGTGGCCGCCCCACGCCGCCGCCCAGCAGACATCCTCGTCCCAGGGGCACCCGTTCTCGTGGGCCCACCGCAACACCTCCACGTGCCCGCCGGCGGCCGCCTGCGCGCACGTCCAGGCGTTCCAGGGGCACCCGTTGGCGCGGGCCCACTGCAGGACCTCCAGGTGACCCTCCTTCGTCGCCGCCGTGCACGTCCACTCGTCCCAGCCGCAGCCGTTCTGCCGCGCCCAAGCCAGGACCTCGAGGTGGCCGCCCTTGGCCGCCCCCGCGCAGGTCAGGACGTTCCAGCCGCAGCCGTTGGCTCGGGCGTAGCGGAGCACGTCGAGGTGGCCCCCCTCTGCGGCCTTCCAGCAGGTCATCTTGTCCCACCGGAAGCCGAGCGCGCGGGCGGCCCGCAGGAGGTCGAGCCTGCCCAGGGAGGCGATCGCGGTGCATACAGCGGTGCCCCCCGGAGAGAGGCCGCAGTCGACGCTGTGCCGCAGCTGGCTCGGCGAGGTATCCGGGGTGATGGCTCTGGTTGAAGTCGGGCGGCCGCGCCAGGCGCCCCTCCACGCCCTCGACACGGAGGCGAAGAAGAGAAACTGGTCGTCGTGGACAAACTCCGAGGCGTGGGAGATGACGTCGGCGGTAGCTTGGAAGGGGTTTCCCATGCTGATGGCGTGCTCGGTGCAAAGACGGACGGCCTTGAAAAAGCGAGGGGGCGGGAAGGAGGCGAACTCACCGAGGTTAACAGGATGATGATGATGGACAAGGTTAACAGCATGATGTCGCGGGGGGGGGGGCCTTGCTTGTCATCGCGTGTCACTGCGGTATAGTACTGTTCTATGTGTGCGTACAAAAATGAAGTAAATACATAGCGGTAGTCTTTTGTTGTAGTAAAAACTCTGTAATGAGTGTTCGGTTTGTACGATGGCCCTCGACGGCGGCATAAGGCGAGGATACTGCACACTGCACGCAACAGGTACGACAGGCTGTTTTCAAAAATGCAACACAAGGTTCGAAAGGGTGCCAACGTCCTCCAGGGCGCAACTTCTTTAGGCGTTTGCTGGCGTCGGAGATAGCATGCTATGTGGGTAACGCCCGGGCGACTTTTCGCCCGCCGCCGGGGTAATTGTTTTCCATATGCAAGTGTGCCTCAAATCTTCCAAGTCAATACTTGCATTTGAGATTTCCCCTCTACCTCTTACAATACTCACGACTTCCCGCCGAAAGCAACAGCTAAAAATTACAGCAGAATAACAATATTTAAAAAACAGATACGCATATATGTTTGCAGTAGTGCTGCTCTACAACATCAACATTTATTTAGCGCGTTCATGTTTTGCTGCAAAATTGATGACTTAATTTTTTCTTACTTCTGCGGGCTGCACGATCGCCCCCGGCGGCAAAAACTGCTGTGAGGATACACGGTGTGGCAGTTGTAGCAAAAAAATAAAAAGCCACCGAAGGCTCTAAAGGGTACAAACGTCCACGAGGGCGCAGCTTCTTGCGCTGTATCTCGCGAACACTGCTACCACCACTACTTAACGTACAGCACGTTCTGCTTCAAAAGTGCCCGGTATGCATACATGCATGGATGCATTTGCATACCGCAAATTGTTGTGGGTGTTATTCGCGGACTAATGGCGCACATCTGCACGTGACTACCGGACCTTCGGAAACGTCAAGATCTGTTGCGATTTGTGTTCATGGCGCGCACTCCGACCATTCCCACTGCCCTAGCACGACAGCAGGGGGTATGCAGCATCGACGTGCCCCTTTTGCCAGATTGATGGGAGGCTGCGCAACCCAAGTTGGAGCCAAAAGGTGTCGCTGCTGTCCCGCAGTTCGAAGACACGAAAGGGACACGTCATACCCAACAAAGAACAAACGAAAGGTTTGCATCGGATCTATGTAGCTGCGCTGCGGAAGCGTGTGCGTATCTCGATCAGCTTCAGCGCAAGATCTGACTGCCCTACACGACATCCACGCAGACTCTGCTCACCTCTGTAGCTGTTGCCTACTGTAAATCGTCCTCTGCTGTGCAGCTGTGCGTATGCGTTGCATGTGCTCTACGCCAGCTGACGCTAAAGGGAGCACGCAGATGAAATGACGTAGGTAAACACATATCCCCTTTCCCGAGAACATTTCCATCTGTGTTTCCCCCGCCGTTGCTTGTCCTCTCATTCTGCATTGATCCATCAGGACAGCAGTCTGTTGGAGCTCTCGACCATGGAGGCTTCGGAGCCACAGCGCCGAGGCTGGCTCTCGTGGTTCCGCCAGTCGGTGTGGGCTCCGTCTCAGCCCGAGCCGGCAAGCGCTACTAGAGAAGAAGAATCAGCAGGCACTTTTTTCCCGTTTTTGATGTCCAGCAAATTGCCACAAGAAGCCCGCCAACAACCACAGCCGCACCCTACCAACGACAGCAGCAGTGCGCCTGCTGCCGCAGAAAAACTACCCAATAGTGACGGCGACAGAAATGGAGCCGTTGCAGAGGTAGTGTCTGCGCGGGGGGTAGCTGCTGACGAAGAGGAAAGGCGGCTAGAGAGGGATTTGCCTCTGGTCTGGACGTTCCTGCGAGAGGAGGAGGGCTGGAGCTTCGTCGACAAGCAGAGCGGCAGCACCGATGTCCGGGGGCCTACGGCAACGGCGGCTGGCGTGGGTGGTGGGGACGGTGGTGGTGCTCAGCAAGAAGAAGCCGGGCCGATGAGCCAGGGACAGGTGGGTTCACACCTGTTGCATATTTTTTCATAATTTGAAACCACCGCGCGGCATTTCCTCCTCGCGCCCGTTTGGTCGTTGTAGGCATCGAGGAGTCGCCGATGAGCAGCAGCAAGTACATCTCAAAACCGCTACTTCAGCAGGTACCCGTTGCATGGGTGGCCCTTTGCTGTCTCAAGGTCGTACGGTGTGCTACGGGTTCATGGCCCGACTTAATTTGGCTCGCTTTGGTTTGGATTGCTGCTGGTTGCTGAGAGAGGCGTATGCATACAACTCTAGAACTCTAGACGATTGCCTCTCAGCAAGTTGTAGATGCTGCTGAATCGGTAGCGGTTGCCCAGCTGCAGCTAAAATCCCGCGGACCTGTCCATGTGGTACGCCACGCTCTCTGTGCATCCAGTGGGTCTGCAGGGATTTTGCCTCTTCTTGCCGAGCCATGCGCCTGTATTTTTGTTGTATTTGGTTTGCCTTGTGCTCGTATCATATCATCCGTATCATCGCCGGGGCGCTTCTGGTGTGTACACGTGGTCGGTGATAGGGCGTTTGTCGTGCTCCAGATGAGCTTCCGAGTCGTGGCAGGTTGCGACACTCGCCCAACTCACCTCGGTCGAGCAGCAGCTTCAGCAAGTACCTACAGCAGTCAGTCGTGCTCGTTCGCAGTGCTGCTCGACGTGTGTCGTTGCAGCCCGGTTTTCAAAGCTCGACTTCTCCACGACGAAGAGGCTGTGCAAAATGCATTTGATACTTTACCGGAAAGCTCTCGACGAGATGGCTCCAACGCCGCAATTTTCCACACCGCCACTGCTTCTACTGTGGAGTGATCGAGCTTTGAGAATTGGTCCAGGGGGTGTGGTATATTGTGTCGTAGACGGTAGCGTCAAGGTAGCCCCCCCCCCCCGTGTATTCTCTTGAATGTGATTGTACCTAAGCTAGAGTATGCAGGAGAGGTATGGGAAGGTAACGAAAAGGCCGCCAAGCAGCTGGAAACGGTGCAGATGGCAGCGGCCAAGAAAATACTAGGATGTTCAAGTACAACGAGCAACACTGTATTGAGAGCAGAATTGGGAATGTACTCTCTTAAAACAAAGAGAGACATGCAGAAGTTGAATTGGCAGTACAAGGTAAGTAGAATGCCGGACGATAGACTACCAGCCATGGTTAACAAGGCAGCTTGGGGAAAAGCGACTCCAGGGAAGAAGGGATTCAGATGGGACAAGGTGGTAGTGAAGGTTTGGAAGGAGATAGGAGACGAGGAGGAGACGTTGGACACGGAAGGGTTCGGGGGGTTCAAGACGAAAGTCAAGGAGATGCTAGAAAGTAGGGAGGAGGCAACCCTTCGGAAGAAGGTACGAAGCGAAGACCACTTGGAGATATACGGGAAGTTGAAAGAAGGGATAGGGATGAAGACGTACTTGGACGGCCCCATGGACTACGCGAAAAGCTGAAATTGGAC